GATAGCATCAAAATCAAGATCAAAGATCGCTACACCAGCTCTAAGAAGCTCATCCCAGCGAGGGATCTCACTAGCCCCGGGGAACTGCTGACGCCAAGCGTCCGTCAGGCGGCCAAAGCAGCGCTGGGTGGAGTGGGCACCCCCACACTGCTCACCCGCGCGGTCGCCAGAGCGAAGGACGTAGGTACAAGGACCAGTACCCCCACCCCTCTGACGCCGAGTGTACCACTCACGGAGCTGCTGGGGCGGAGGGACGTCACGCGAACGCTGCTGCTGCTGCTGCTGCGAGCGCTAACCACCACCACCGCCGCTCCGCTGCTGGGTACCGCCTCGACCAGCTCCACCTCCTACGCCACCACCGCCTCCTCCGCCACCGCCTCCCCCACCGTCACCGCCACCACTGCCGCCACCACCACCGCCGCCGCCAGCACCGCCGCCTCCTCCGCCGCTGCCACCACTACCACCACCACCCCCGCCACCACTCACGCCGCCACCCCCACTCCCTCCGCCGCCTCCACCGCCACCTCCACCGTTCCCTCCAGCTCCACCAGCGCCCTTGCCCCCCTTGCCCTTGCCAGAGCGGCGTCTCCCACTAGGGGCAGACGCCGCGCCAACCGACTCGAGACCAAGCAGGTCGGCAGCAGCAGCAGAGGCAACAGAGGGCAGGAGGGGGGAAGGAGAGCACCCCTCAAAGATGGGGGTGCGAGGGTCACCACGAGAAGCTCCTACAGCGACGATGCTCTTCTCCGCCGCGAGGAGGGCCTTCTCGAGGACGTCGACGGTGAGGGTGGTAGGACATACTGCGAGAAAGTGGTCCCTGACTACGCGAAGGGAGTCAGGGAGGCGCGCGACTACGTAGTAGAGAGTGATGTACATGGGGGGGGGGTTCTTAGCGCAGAACTCAGCAGGAAGGGCGGCGCGGTAGCGAGTGTCACTAGTGCGGAGGTGCGTAATGAGGTCAGCAACAGTGGGAAAGGCAGAGAGGTCAGGAAAGAGGTAGGGAAGCATGAGACGGCTCAGTGCAGCAGTGGCAGGGGAGGAGTAGCGCGCAACTACAGCGTCGTACAAGGTCTGAGCACTCTTGTACTGACTAAAGTGCGCGCGCTGAGAGGTAGGGAGGTGGCGACGCACAGCAAGATGTGCAGCAGCATCGCGGGTGGCCCACTGAGAGCGCACAGTGGGATCAGCATCAGCAGCAGGGGCAGGAGAGGCGCCAGAAGTGAGGTCAAAGAGAGAGAGGCCGTCTGCCCTATCGCACTGTAAAAACAACTGCAGGTCGTCTACCCAGACCTCAAAGTCAATGGCGCGACCCTCAGCGTCAAAAGCTAGGACACTAGGGGTAGCCATGACGACGACAGCGAAGCAGTGCAAGCAGTAGGGGAAGAGCACGCAGTGACAGCGGTACTGTGCTCACCGAGCAGGGCAGGTCGGGCAGCTCTGCAGAAAGGCGGCTCGGCGACTCAGCGACTCGGCTACTGGGCGGCTCGGCTCCCGGGCGGCTCGGCGACAGAGCGGCTCGGGTGCAGGGCGGCTCGGGTGCACTGCTGCTCGGTGGTCCGGCGGCTCGGCTGCTGCAGGTGAGTGGCTCGGCTGCTGCAGGTGGGCGGCTCGGCTGCTGCAGGCGGGCGGCTCGGCTGCCGCAGTTGGGCGGCGCGAGAGGAAGGGGGGCGGCGGGGCCGGGTTGCAGGGACGGCGAAGGGCCGCAGTAGAGGCGGCCGTAGAGCCGCAGGTAGGAGGCGGCGGGGCCGCGCAAGGGCGGGGTGGCCGCGAGTGACGGCGGCGGGGCCGCGTCGGAGGGGAGGGCGGCGGGGCCGCGGCTCAGCAGGCAGCGGGGCCGCGTCGGAGCGGGCGGCGGGGCCGCGGCTGAGCAGGCGGCGGGGCTGCGCCTGAGTGGGCGACGGGGCCGCGGCTGAGGAGGCGGCGGGGCCGCGTCAGAGCAGGCGGCGGGGCCGCTTCGTAGCGGGCGGCGGGGCCGCGGCTGAGCAGGCGGCGGGGCCGCGTCCGAGTGGGCGGCGGGGCCGCGTCGGAGCCAGCAGCGGGGCCGCGGCTGAGCAGGCGGCGGGGCCGCGTCTGAGCAGGCTGCGGGGCCGCTTCTGAGCAGGCAGCGGGGCCGCGTCGGAGCGGGCGGCGGGGCCGCGTCTGAAGGCGCGGGCGGGGCCGCGTCCGAAGTGGGCGGCGGGGCCGCGTCTGAAATGGCGGCGGGGCCGCGTTCGAAAGGGGCGGCGAGGCCGCGTCTGAAAGGGCAGCGGGGCCGCGAGGGAAGGGCGACACGGAGGGTCGCTCGAGAGAGAGAAAAATAAGGTTAGCGCGCCTCGGGGCGCGCTTCGGTGGGCCCTAGGCGAAGTTCCCACAGGGAACCCGCTCTATACCATGTGAGAATACTAGAACAGGAATGAAATGACTAAGCGAAAGTTGGGTACAAATACAAACCTTAGAGAGCTGTACCCCATATGTGCTACCCCACTATAGCCTACAACAGCTATGTCATATATATCTGACAGCTCTATGATCAGTACCCTCTAGCCTATGCATGGCTTAGGAGGCACGACCAAGATGAGGCGCGAAAACGCCAAGAGTATGAGGGTAGGGGCTTCATCCCCCGGTCGGCTTTTTAGACGCATTAAAATGCAACAGAGCGCGTCTAAGACCCCCGACCGGGCCCGCTGTGGGATCCGGCGCGCTGTCCTCCCTCCCACTGCCTCTCCGCTGAATAAAGCTTTCCATTCCCATGATGTAACATCGACCCACACCTCGTCCCCAAATTCCCGCGGCGTCGGTCGCTCTTGCGCGTCGGTCTCCACCAGAGAAGGGATCGAGCCGAGAGCCTGCGCATGCCTCTCCATCTCAGCTGCCCGGCATACCCTCACGTAGTTCTCAGCAGCCCCTCGCGTAGTGAACGTGTGGAAACACGTGTCACACGGAAAACGGGGGCATGGGGAAGTGTCAGAGGTCCATTGGTGATCCCCGATTGATCATGGGGAAGGGTTATAGGCTCGTTGTCCTAGGGGGTTATGGGCGCACTGACCCGCTACTTAACAAGCCCTTTTATCCGAATGGTCTAGTGGTTGGGATTCTGACAGGAAGGCGGCTTGGGAAATTCTCCGTCCGCCTCTGACTCCTCCGCAGTCGCCATGGGGGTATCAAACTCCCAAAGTCGGCTCCACTCCTCCGACTGTTGCCCTTGGTCGTCCCTCGACAAACCCCTGGCTGTTGCGCTCCCTGGGGTGCTCCGGTCGCCCGCGGCTGCCCCCCTGGCTGCTGCACTCCCTGGGGTGCCATAATGGTAACATACAAAATTATGGAGCGAGATTGTTTGACACTCTGGTTCACACATATCTGGAGTGTGAGAGATTGTAGATGTACAAACATGAGGATCTAGAGGTCTTGGCATGGAAATGCACTTCCATTAAGTGCCATACCCTACCCAACCGTTGCGCAGATCATCCCACCGAACCGCAAGTGAGGTCTTCTTCACACCCTTCCGTGAGATACGAGATCGATTGTAGAGCGCAGATGGTAATTCTGCTGTCGGCGGCGGGGCGAGACCTTGGGGGTGCCGCCCAGCTAGAGCTCACTGGAAGAACCACTAGAGCCGCAGGCCGCAGCATCTCATCCATCTAGCTCCCTCACTTTCCTTTCGTCACCGCCATTTTGCCCACTCGTGCAATTCTCCAGTTTTCTGCTCCACCACATAGTTCACAAGCTTTATCAATACTCCGTTCTTTTAACGACCACAATCGGCCTGATGAATGACTTGAGTATCCATTGCCTTGTTTCGTCCGAGCCTTGCTCAACTTGCGCGGATGAATCAGGCTGCGATTGTTGCTCATGTGCACGAGCGCAATACATCAGACGTTCTCCTATCGTGAAGAAACTCAGGGGTGCCTTGGCTTTCATGAGCCAATAACGCACTTTAACTTTTGATGATTTTCGATCAGTCATATCGTTCTGGTTCACCGTTGGGCTTTATCCTCCATATCTTAGTCCGTTAACGCGATCTTAGAACATGCAACCTTAGAGGTAGCATTCAATGATTATTCGAAGCCTCGTTAGTCAACGATAGCTTAATTTGTGGTGATCAAAGGCCACACCAGTGAACATTAAGGCATCAGTCAATGGAGGTCACTAACAGAGACAATTCACCGCTTAAGGTGGTCCGCTGGGGCGATTCATCACATTCAGGCTCTAGTACTCAGGCAGGAGTTCAGATAAAACCGCGTAAGGGAAAGAAAAAGTCATCTAGCGGTACTAGTCTTACGAATTTTGAGTTACCAGTTACCAGCTGTGGCGAATCAGCTGTGGATCTCGCTGATGCGTTCGCAATTCATCAGCCTCCCGCGTTTCCGCCGCAACAGCAGCATCAAGCAGAGCAGCAGCAACAAGTTCAGTTTCAAGAAGGCGGACGGCACACGCATAGCGAGGTACCGTTGCGTGATCTGGAGAAGCAGGGCACGGAAACGACTCGTTCTCGACCCAATAGCGGGGAATTTCCTGTCATTGGTACGTCCGCGGAAGGGCAGGCAGAGGACTCGGTGCAAACTGGCGGCAATGGCGCAGTTAAACGTGGGAAAAAGGGGCGGAAGAAGAGCCAGAGCGCCGCGTCGCTTCAGCCTTACGAGGCAGCACAGCCAGATGGTTACTTGCAGCCAGGTGGATACTCGCAACTTCAGGGGGTTTACTTACAGAACGGTTACAACACACAGCAGCAGCAGCCGCCGGCAACGCAGACCCAGCAGTGGCAAGACGATTGGACGGTTCTAGCAGATGGTGACGTAATCGACGAGCCTCGTTACCAGCCGTCCGTACCCTTCCCTCTTTCGCGATCCGTTACTGCCGGTCCGCAAGCGCCTAAGCCGTTAAAGGACGGGGTATCCCGGACCGCAAGGCAGCAGAGGGCTTTGGCGGAGAGCGTAGGGGGATCATACGATGCTGAGTTGGGGAGAAGCGAAGGAGGTTTTCAAACAGAGAGGGTCCCGACTCAGGCACCGCCTGCGGAGGTTATGCTTCCGCGGAGCAAGTCGGAAGCGGGTAGGGGCGGGGTTGCGCTTAGGAGGGGGAGAGCCCGCGCAGGAGCAGTGACGATAGGGTCGGTGGGCTCTGAGGCGGAACTCGCGCAAGGGGTGGTACGGCGGGCGTCGCAGGGGGAGCTGGCTGCGGAGGAGGGGGGTGATCAGGTGAACGTGGTCGCACAGAGGGCGCGTGCGACGGGTGCGAAAGAACGGAGGCGACAGCCGAGCGAGGATAGCGCCAGCAGCACTAGTGGCAGCAGGGGTAGCAGCGGAAGCTCGGTGGGAGGTATGAGTATGATACACTCCCAAGCGCAGCAGCAGCAACAAGCGCAACAGACGCAACAGGAGCAGCAGCCGCAGGAGCAGCAGATGCAGCAGAAGACGAAGCAGGCGAAGCAGCACAGGAGAAGGAAGTCCGGGGGGGATGTGACGGCTGCTGCTGCTGCTGCTGGTGGTTCTCAGGCTGGGTTGCCTGCAGGAGGGGAAGGCATTGCGGGCGGTGGGGGCTATGCAGAGCACGCCAATGGAGGCAATGGTGCTGGGGGAAGTGATGGGGGGTCCCAAGGTGTCGCCTTCTCAGGTGGAGGCTTTTCCGGTGGAGGTCACCTAGGAGGCAACGGCTGGGGCAGGGGTGGCGTGGAAGGGGGCCCTGCAGCGTTGTATGCGTCCCTGCTGGCTGTACACCCGCCCCTGATCTCCAAATCCGGTCGACAGGTCGTTCGGGTAAGACTGCTGGGTTACCCCTCGACCCTGTAGCTTTTGAGAATTCTTATAAGTCCTGCTGCACTATACGCGGCCCTACTGTCTGCGCGTCCCCGGATCTCCAGGTCGTTCGGGTAGGCACTGCTCGTTTGTCCCTTGCACCTGCAGCTGCACGTACCTGCCTGCTGCTGTCTGGTCGTATGAAGCCATAACTCCTCTTCTGGCAGAAGGCGTCTTATTACTGTGAGACTGCCAATGTTTCCCTCCGTTCTTTCTGCTCTTTTCCGGTCTTTCAAACGCAGTGCCAGTGGTGCTCCCAGATGCTGGCAGTGCCGGCGCAGCTGCAGCCGTCACACAAGGGCAGGCAGAAACTGCGGTGCGGCAAGTGCATGCGCGTGTCTAAGTATGCTGTCACTCTGCCGCCGCCCGACATGCCTGGCCTACCCCTCCTTATTCCTGTTGAGAGCGCACAAGAAAAGGGTGATGTGCAGTCCCAGGTGCAGTTTCCAGAGCAGCAGCAGCATCATCTACAGCAGCAGCAGCAGCAGCAGCAACAGCAGTATGAGCATCAGCTACAGCAGCAGATGACCGTGCAGGGTTCCCAGGGGATCGAGCAGGCGTTGATAGAAGGGGAGGTCGCTGGGGACGACAATGAGGACGAACAGTGGCAGCAGCAGCCGGGAACCCTGCAGGTACAGCAGCAGCAGTGGGAATTGCAGCAACAGCAGTTACAGCAGCAGGCACAGCAGGTGCCGATGCCAATGCAGGTACAGGCAGGTGGCATGGCAGGACCGCGGTTCCCTGCTTCAAGTGCTGCAATTCCAAATGCAGCCATTGCAGGTGCAGCCGTTGCAGCAGCATCCTTGCTCACGGGTGCGCCAGCCTACCATGGCATGGCACCACAAGACATTCAGCCAATGCTGCAGCAAGGGTTTCCACAGGGAGGGGGTTTCCCTGGCGCCATGGGCCAGCAGCTTTCCCAGCAGCGGCAGCAGCAGCAGCAACAGCAGCAGCAACAGCAGCAGCAGCCGTTGCAGCAGCAGCAGCCGTTGCAGCAGCAACCATTGCAGCAGCAGCCATTGCAGCAGCAGCAGTTTGGTCATATTCAGGGAGGTGGGGGTTTGGGTCCAATTGGGCAGCAGCAGCTACAGCAGCAGCTGCAATGGGTAAATAGTGTGCCCCCTTCTGCTTTGAATGGGGCGGTGCAGCAGCTGAATGGCGTGGCCCTATCCAGTGTTCGTCCTCAGCAACTGCACACATTGCTGCATAGTCCCATGCTGCCGTATCGACCGCAGCAGCTGCCACAGCAGCTGCAGCAGTATCAGCAGCCGCCACAGCAGCTGCAGCAGTTTCAGCAGCAGAATCAGCAGCAGCAGTTTCAACTGCAGCAGTACCAGCATCAGCAGCAGGGGCAGCAAATTCAGTCACAGTATCAGCAAAGACCTACGATCATCCAAGTCTCTACTTCCCTCACAGGCGAATCTGGTGTGGGTTTAGCCAAGGGTGGTGAGCCTGGTCAGGGGTATGCAGGTGGGACTTACTACCAGCACCCTCAACTTATGCCTGTCAGACCTCAGCAAGACACCGTGCAACCGCTGCTGCAGCAGCAGTCAGGCTTACAGCAGCAAGCTCGGCCACATATGCAGATGCAGATGCCGCAACAAGATTTGCAGCAGCGGCAGCAACAGCAGCCGCAGAAGCAGCAGCATTGGCAAGGAGTTGGGCAAGGGACTTTCAGTCAGCATGGCATTGTCGGTCAACAGGACGCTCAGCAGCAGCAGCAGCAGCAGCAGCAGCAGCAGGGGTTGGCAGCTCAGCAATCCCTGCCTCGCAGAGCATCACAGGGAGCAGCAGGCGAAGCTCAGCCTTCAGCCAAGCACGTCCGCAAGTCCAGTGGTGGTTCTGACTCCAGTACCAGTGGTGTTGCACCTGCTCTCAGAATGCCTAGTACTGGAGCGGCAGCAGCAGCAGCAGGAGCAGAGGGAGCAGGAGGAGTGATGGCAGCAGCAGCTGTGGCAGACGAGAATGGACAGGAGTTGGTCCCGAGGACCGCATCAGGGAAGCGGTTCCAGCGGCAGGCACGGGACATGCTGGCAACAAGACGAGTCACCGTGGGTCCGGGCGGCAAGCTGGCCACCGTTCCTTCCTTCCGTGCTGCTCCTCAGATACAGGGAGGGACAGCAGGAGGAGGGGCGGCAGGAGGAGGGGCGGCAGGAGGAGGGGCGGCAGGAGATGGTGCTGGTGGAGGGGGAGGGGAGATGTCGCTGCGGCGAACATCAACAGAGAGGAAGGGAGCGAAAGGGGTAGAGGGAGGGGGAGCAGTGGTGCTGATGCCACGGAGCAGGACGATGAGTATGGGTGTGGAGGCACAGTACCGGAGAAAGGTGGTTGTGAATGGGGTGCCTGTGCCGGACCAGAGGGTTCTTGTTGCAGAGCAGAGGATTGGGAAGATCGAGCCTGGGAATTATTGGTGCGGATATGCTGATTTAGCTATTTTGTGCCACGATGTTAGGCTTTCATTGTTTCCTATCCATGTGGTTCGTGGTTCCATGTTTCTGGGACAATCTGAGCACCCGTCAGTTGTGCATTGTTGATATTGCCTTTGTGGTTGCAGGTATGACTGCAGAGCTGGGTTCTGGGGGCCTGTTGGGAGTGCGTCCTTGGGCGTCATTCCAGTGAGCAATGCTTTGTCTACGTTCATGCAATATGCATCTGTATCTGTTGTCTTGCTGTGTCACTCACTAGTTCTTTCCTCTCATTTGATGTCAGGCTTTCATGCGCGAGCTAGGCAATGCCCCTGTGTCCATGGATTGCTCCGGTGGCAAGAGCAAGATTCTGGTGAATGGACGAGAGCTGCATCGAAAGGATGTCAAAGTTCTGGCAGAGAAGGGTTTCCCTGAGACATTGGGAGGCAGGTATACGCTGGATGCGGATGGCACTCTGGTCAATGAGTTTGGACGAGTGGCGGCTAACCTTGGGAGCCTGTAAGTTTGCAGCTTTGGTTGGGTGACACTTTTTTTTTTTTTTTTTTGTTGCAGAAAATGAGCTTATGAATTGCTCCTCTCCTCTGTGTGCAGGCTGGAGGATGACAAGGATGGCTTATTTATGAAAGCTGGGTCAGAGATCAAGGTCAAGCAGAAGAAATAAACACTACTAACGTTGTCAAGTACAGTGAAGGCCTTCGTACAGAATTTCGCGTTGTGTGTTGGTGTTGCTGTGGCACCTTCCATTCCCCCGACTGTCGGTCGACGTTTCTTCGCATTTGTAACGGCTTTCACCAAATTATCGCAGGCCTATGGCAGAATTCCGTTTCGCTGACGAACAGCGGACCTTGAGTTGAGTTCTCCTGGCTGATGATGAACCTCGAAATTCCCAGGCTTCTGCGCCAAGTCACAACTTATTTTGGCTCGGTTTACTTCTGTCAGGAATTGTGGGTCCTGCCGAGCCTCGCAGGACCTTGGCCTGGCCTAAGCTTTTGTGTGCGACAAACCGAACAGCGCCCACTGGCTCGGCATAATCAGGAAGATTTGACAGGAGCAGTGCAGCACCAGCAGCAGAGCAGCAGCAGCACTCCCTCCAGTGTATTCTCCGTTCTCCTTTCTCCTCTTCCCTAACCATTTTCATCTCTCTGACTTCCAGTGCACTCTATCTTTTCAAGGAGTGATCTGCAGTAGAATGTTGTGGTGCATCGTCAATGTCACCGCGAAAGCTGCTGGCGTATTCCCGATTTGACTAGTTTTGCGACGGGGTGGTACGCCGTAATGACACGTTCTTAGGTAGCTAAAGGCCACGCGTGTCTGTTTTAGGTCGTCGACGCGTTTCATTCTTTCCACACGATTGTAAAAAGGCTCGTCAACGATAAGCGCGTACTCATTCGAAATGGGAACACGGAAGCTCGCGCACCTTGATCCGTAACATCTAGGGATTAATGTCTCTTTTCCTCCTTCCCTTAACGTAGACCTTTTCTTATTGCAACATGGCTAGCCTCCAACCACCAGGTAGGAAGATACGACCTCAGCAAGATCCTTATGTGTCTGGTAATGGCTATCACGCCGATGGACACCCACACAGACTATCAACCCCGCAGGGAGTGCATTCCGTATCCACCCAACAGCAATCACCGATGCCTAAGTCCAGCTCCGCCTTCCCTTCACGAACTGGAAGTCTGTCAAACACCCACATGACGCCACCCGATGCCTGGGACGGCCGACAGTCTTCAGACCAAAATCACATCCCGCAAAACCAAGCTCAATCTTTTCAGCAAGGAATGCAAGTAGGAGCTCAGCAGCACGGCATGCAGCACGGGGTGCACGAGACACCCGCTCAGGGCCAGCGGGGATCCATGCACGTGGATCCAAACACCAGCCTCGCGGCCCAGCGCGTGCTAGCGGCGCACAAGGCGAAGCACCTGCATGTGGAGGTCGATTCCCCATCTGGCGTCCCCTCGCACGGGGGGAACTCGGGCGGGGCTATTGTGACTGGAGAGGGTCCGGAGTTCCGCGAGCCGGCGCAACAGCAGCAGCAGCAGCAGCTTCCGCCGATTCAGGCTCAGGCGCAGGCGGTTCCAGGCGAAGGGGCTACTGTTCCGCAGCCGCTACTGTCAAAGTCAGGCCGGCCTGTTGTGCGTGTAAGTTATTGAACGCGGCAGCCGGAGAAATCAGCAACCATTCCTTGCATCCTTACCTTTTCCTTGCTTCGTTGTCCTCGCGTTGCCTACATCGTTTTCCCCGCATGTTTCCGAATTCCGATTTCGTTCCATCGCAGTGCCAGTGGTGCTCCCAGATGCTCGCCGTGCCACCAAAACTGGAGCCGAGAGACGGAGTTCAGAAGCTGCGTTGCGGAAAGTGCCTAAAGATCTCCAAGTTCTCCGTCTTCGTCCCTCCCGCCGGCGGCGTTCCCGTGCTCATGCCTCTTTCCGCCTCCGGCCCTCTCCCCGGTCCGCCTTCTGTAGCTGTTTCGCGTGGTGGAGCCCAAAATCAGCAACCCCTGCCTGTGCAGCCACAGCCGCAGCTGCAGCCGCCGCCGCAGCAGCAGCAAGGGCAGGTGGTGTCGGAGGAAACGTGGCTGCAGCAGCCGCTGCAAGGTGTAGCCCCGCTGCAGGCTTACCAGCAACAGCCGCAGTTCCAACAGCCGCAGGGCATGGGTCCCGTGCAGCCGCAGCAGGCGCGGCAGCCTTCGCCGCAGCTCATGCAGCAGCAGCAGCAGCAGCAGCAGCAGCAGCAGCATGCAGCGTTGCAGGGTTATGGGCAGGGTGCGCAGGGGCTGGTGCAGCAGATGGGCGGCTTGAGCATGGGTGAGTCGTTTAGTCAGCAGCCGTATGCTATGGCCCCTCAGATGCCACAGGGGATCGGCCCGCAGGGAGGGATGCAGCAGGGCATGGGGCAGCAAGGCATGGGGCAACAGGGCATTGGGCAACAGGGCATGGGGCAGCAAGGCATGGGCCAGCAGGGGATGGGGCAGGTGTATCAGCAGCAGGCTCATGCACCTGGGCATATGCAGGCTCACCCACAACAGCAGCAGGCGGTACCTCAATTCCAGCAACAGATGGTTGGGGGAGCGCAGCAGCAGTATGCCAACTTCGCACAGCCAGGCATGGCTGGGCCTGGAGGGTTTATACCTCAGCAGCAGCAGCAACAGCAGCTTCAGCACCCTCACCAGCAGCAGCAGCACATGCAATTCCAGCAGATGCAGAATCAGCCCATTCAACAGCAGATGCAGCAGCAGGTGATGCACCAGGGACAGGGTCAGGGGCAGCAGCAGATGGGTCATCTCGCGCCCCCACATGCCTCTCAATCTCCCGTGCAGGCGTCAGGCTTTGCAGCTAGCCCCCTATCCCAGAACCACTCACCCTCCATGCCCATGTACCATCAAAACTCAGGCCCTCCGCAACAGCAGCAGCCACTCCACCCATACCAGCAGCAGAGCCCCATGCAGGGTCGCTCTCACATGGGCAAGGTAGCATACGGGCATCAAGCACCCAGACCTCCTCTATCCGGTGGGAGCATAGGGGGGCACCTGGAGAGCGAGGAGGGCCTGCCAAGGCAAGGGTCAGGGAAACGGTTCCCCAAGCAGCCGCCACAGCCCCCCATGGACCCACAAGCTGCCACCAGACGGTACCTCACTGGCCCGGGGAAGTCCCTAGCGGCTTCGATCGGCTTTAGAAGCGGGTCTCTCAACGAACATCAGATGCAGCAGCAGCAGCAGCACGGGGGTGCGGGAATGGGAGCGCCTGCGGACCTGCCCTTCAGGCGCACTGCCACGGAGTACAGTGGGCCGCCCGGGCGGGCAGATGCGATGACGGTGGCGCCGAGAAGCTCCACGCTGGGCGGCGAGGGGCAGTACCGTCGCAAGGTGTATATGAACGGGCAGCCCGTGCCTGACAAGCTTGTGTTCCTGGCTGAGAGGCGGATTGGAACGATTGAGCCAGGCAGCTACTGGTATGTTGTGCACTGCTGTCTTTAAAACAGGATGGGCGTCTGTTGTGCATGCTTCTTGTGGTTTTGCTGTTTGCGTGCCTAATGGAGGAGTGACGTGTGTTCGTGCATTGCTCATTCTTTTCACCCGATCTTGTTTCCCTCCACCTTTTGTTTTTCTTGTCATCTCATGTTCCAGGTATGACTGCCGAGCTGGATTTTGGGGCCCTGTGGGAGGGCCAGCATTCGGAGTTACTCCGGTGAGTTGCTCTTTGGAACAGGCAAATGAGAGTCGCAGGCAAGTTATAGGTGAAAGTAAGCCAAAACTGCAAATTCACCTGAAATTAGGCTGATAAATCAACCCTGGTAGAAAAAACAAGGCTGAACAAAGGTTGAATCAACGTAAAAAGCTTCGAATCTGAGGGTCTGCGTGTGGAGAGGTAAGGGCCTGAAAGTGGGTGGTTGAAAAAATGTTACAGCAGCAGCAAAATGTTACTACCTCATTGTGGGCTAGTGTGCCGAGTTGTTTTCGCCGCGCTGCCCAAATATAGCCCCGTTTCTCCCTCCTGCCTGCTTGTTTCCCAACAGGCTTTTATGAGGGAGTTCGGCATGCAGCCGATGCAGAGTGACTGTTCCGGAGGCAAGACTAAGGTGTTTGTGAATGGGAGAGAGCTGCACAAGAAGGACCTTGTTACTTTGATGAAGAGGGGCTTTCCGGACACTCCTGGTGCTCGGTACACTCTGGATGCTGATGGCACAGTCTGCAATGAGGCAGGCCGACACCTCTTTGCCATGGGAAAACTGTAAGTGAAGCTCTATTGTCAAGCCGTAGTAGTTTGAGCGGCCTGTCAATGTGTCAAGCTTGCCAACTTCAGCTTACACAGTGAGCTGACTCTTTCCATGCCCATCGTGCTTTTGTTTGTGCTTTTGTCAGGATGGTGGACAAGAAGAAGGGTATGTACATGGTGAAACCCCAATAACATGGAGCTAGCACCAGCACGAAAGTAAATAATGAGATCAACTATCTAACTGATGGCAGTGGGTGATCGTTTCAGTCATGGTGCTAATGAACCTGTGTTCATAGCAGCTGTCATATCTGGTGGTCTTGCAACTGAATCTTACCTGACTTCTTGAAATCCACCAGCCTGGAAGTGAAATCATACTACCACGTGGATATTCCAGGAGACAACTTCCTCAGACTAACACACAGTAATAACTATTGGGATTTAACTTAGAGATGCTTCACTACTGGGAACTGAACACAGTTTTATAACGAAATATGTTACGAGTGCAATTGAGTGAACAAACGAGAATTGCACTATCGAAGCAAGAGTACAATGAGCGAAGGCATGAGCGAACAATATATAGCGAAACTACAGTGGTAACGGTAATGGTCGCGCGACGAGCCTGGGACTGAGGTTGGGAAAGTGTCGAAGCGTAGGCCTGGAGCGCGGGTTACCAGCCGAGCCGTGAGGTCGGGATGCGATGTGCGAAAATGGCGGGATGATGAATGATGCGATGGTCGCGAGTGGTAACGGTGCTGACTGAGGTGCTACAGTGATGTACGCGTTGAGCAGGGACGCGAAGTAAGGAAAAGGGAATTTCCTTACACTACCCCCCCTCCTAAGGAGGTACTCCTTACGAAAGCGCATGGACGGCTCTGAAGTTTCGGCTGCGCAGATAGTCCGTGACGACAGGGTGGTTTTCGACTTTGTCCAGGGGAACCCAGTTGTCCTCGGTGGGGGTACGATCTTTCCAGCGGATCAGAAACTCCACTTTTCGGGCTCCTCGAGGGTCACGAACTCTGTGGCTCAGGATCTTATCGGGGGTGATGACTGGCTCGGTTGGTGGTCGTGTCATGCTGGAGGGTCGATGGCGTGGGAGTTGACTGGTGGATGGTACGTAAGGGCGAAGCAGGCTGACGTGGAACGAGGGGCTGACGTACCAGTCAGCAGGAAGGAGGAGGTGCGCGGTGACACGCGTGATCATGTGACTGATTCGAAATGGCCCACAGTATCGAGGGCGGAGTTTGGGAGTGATGGGCAGGCGGAGGTTCTGAGTGTCGAGTAAAACAAGGTCGTCGGGCTGGTAAGTGACGGGTCTGCGGTGGCGATCGGCGTTGCGTTTAGCGATGATGTTTGATTTTTTTATTGCTTCTGCTGCCCTGGTCCGTGCTGCTTGCAGAATCTCGGCGAACTGTTGTGCTCGTGGGACGGGGTTGTCGGGATTCGGTGTCATGGTTACTGTTGGGTCCTGTCCGTAATTCAAGTAAAACGGCGACTGTTGTGTCGTGGCTGATGGCGCGTTATTGTAGGCGAACTCGATGAGGGGCAACTGTTGTTCCCATGTGTTCGGATCGTCGCACGTGGCTCGAATCAGCTGCTCCATGGTCTGATTGGTCCGTTCCGTCTGTCCGTCGGTTTCGGGGTGATAGGATGAACTGAATTGTAAGCGCGTGCCGAACTGCTGCCACAGGTTCCGCCAGAAGTTGCTGGTAAATTTCGTGTCCCTGTCGCTGATGATCGACGCGGGTATCCCGTGCAGTCGAACGACGGTGGTGATGAAGAGTCGGGCGGTTTCTTCGGCTGTGATTGATTTCCTGCATGCTGCGAAATGTGCCATCTTCGTTAGTCGATCGACGACGACCAGGATCGCGTCATTCCCACTCGCCCCAGCTGGTAACCCCGTGACGAAGTCCATCGTCACCTGCTGCCAAGCACGCTCTGGAGGCGGGATGGGTTGTAATTGTCCCGCCGGCCGCTTCCTGCTTGACTTCATGAGCTGGCAAGTGGGACATGATGCCACGTGTCGTTGCACATCGGTCAACATTTCTGGCCAGTAGTAGTACCGCTGCAGCTGCTGCCGTGTTTTTTCTACCCCGAAATGCCCCGAGGTAACTCCGTCGTGTGCTTCCTGTAACAGTAGTTCCCGCAGTAGCGTGTATCCTGGTACCCAGATGCGGTCGGTTCCAGCTTTTACGTAATAGACTCCTTTTGCCGCTGCGAATTGCTGTGAGTTGCCTCCTGTGAAGAATGGGTCTGTTTGATATCCGTGGGTAAATAAGCCTGTAAGTAGCGGGCTGGTCTGGGCGAGTAGTATCGCATGGATCTGGGCAGTGGGGCGGGTCAGTGCGTCGGCGATATTCGAGGCTCCTTTTTTGTATGTGACCGTATAGTGAAAGTTCGACTCGAGGAAATCGAGCCATCGAATCTGTCGTGGGTTGAGGTGGGGCTGTGCGCGGAGGTACTGTAGAGATCGGTGGTCTGTCCGTACTGTCACGTCTGCGCCGGTCAAGTAGCAGCGCCACACTTTGAATGCGTGCACGATCGCAAGCATTTCGCGGTCGTGTATCGGGTAATTTCGCTCAGGCAGATGGAGTTTGTGTGATTCGTAGGCGATGGGTTGGAGGCCGTTGCCGAAGTCCTAAAACAGTACAGCTCCGATGGCGATGTCACTCGCGTCTGTAACCACTTCGAAGGGGCGGTGTGGATCAGCGATGTGTAGAACGGGTGGTGAACAGAGAACATTTTTCAGGGCAGAGAAGGCAGTATGCTCATTCTCCCCCCACGTAAAAGCGACCCCCTTACGTAGTAAATCAGTGAGTGGGGCTGTTAAACGTGCCATGTCGGGCACGAACCGTCGAACGTAATTGACAAAACCTAAAAAACTCTGCAGTTCCGTGATGTTCGTCGGGGGGCGCCACGCTTTTACTGTATCCAGCTTCTTTGGGTCAATCTCATGTCAGAACATTATAGCTTACTCTTTTCTGTAGGCTATAGTGGGGTATCCCATAGGGGGTACAACCCAATTAGGGTTTCCTATTTGTACTCACTTCGTTCATAGTCATTTCATTCTCGTTCAGTTTTTCCTCATGGTATCGAGCAGGTTCCCCTGTGGGAACTGTGCCTAGGGCCCACCACTCGAATTTTTTTTTTCCTGCCCGAAGCGCACTCATCCCGAGTCGCGCCTCGGGCCACTCCTTCCCCGAGCCGCCCTAGCGGCCGGCCTTACCCTCGCGGCCCCGCCACCCTGTGAACGCGGCCCCGCCGCCTCTTCTCTAGCGGCCTCGCCGCCCTGCTCTCGCGGCCCTCGCCGCCCTTACTCACGCGGCTCCGCCGCCCCTGATCTCGCGGCCCCGTCGCCCCTGCTCCAGCGGCCCCGCCGCCCCTGATCTCGCGGCCCCGCCGCCCCTGAACTAGCGGCCCTCGACGCCCCTGATCTCGCGGCCCCGCCGCCCAAGCGCTCGCGGCCCCCGCCGTCCCTGATCTCACGGCCCCGCCGCCCCAGCGCTCCCGGCCCCGCCGCCCCTGATCTCGCGACCCCGTCGCCCCAGCGCTCCCGGCCCCGCCGCCCCTGATACGCGGCCCCGCCGCCCCAGCGCTCGCGGCCCCGCCGTCCCTGATCTCACGGCCTCGCCGCCCCAGCGCTCACGGCCCCGCCGCCCCTGATCTCGCGGCCCCGCCGCCCCAGCGCTCACGGCCCCGCCGCCCCTGATCTCGCGGCCCCGCCGCCCCAGCGCTCCCGGCCCCGCCGCCCCTGATCTCGCGGCCCCGCCGCCCCAGCGCTCCCGGCCCCGCCGCCCCTGTTACGCGTCCCCGCCGCCCCAGCGCTCCCGGCCCCGCCGCCCCTGATACGCGGCCTCGCCGTCCCTGATCTCACGGCCCCGCCGCCCCAGCACTCACGGCCCCGCCGCCCCTTGCTCTCGCGCCGCCCAATTGCAGCAGCCGAGCCGCCCAACTGCAGCAGCCGAGCCGCCGGACCGCCGAGCAGCAGTGCAGCCGAGCCGCCCTTGCACCCGAGCCGCCCGGCAGCGGAGCCGCCCCGCCCGAGCCGCCCTACCGCCGAGCCGCCTGGGAGCCGAGCCGCCCGGGAGCCGAGTTGCTGAGTAGCCGAGCCGCCTTTTCTACCGAGCCGCCCGACCTGCCCTGCCCGGTGAGCACTGTACCGCTGTCACTGCGTGCCCTTCCCCTACTGCTTGCACTGCTTCACTATCGTCGTCATGGCTACCCCTAGTGTCCTCGCTTTTGACGCTGAGGGTCGAGCCATAGACTTCGAGGTCTGGCTCGACGACCTGCAGCTGTTTTTACAGTGCGATAGGGCGGACGGTCTGTCTCTCTTTGACCTCACCTCTGGCGCCGACCCTTCCCCTGCTGCTGATGCTGACGCCACTGTTCGCTCACAGTGGGCCACGCGCGATGCTGCTGCACGTCTTGCTGTGCGTCGCCACTTGCCTACCGCTGAGCGCGCGCACTTTAGCCAGTACAAGAGTGCTCAGACCTTGTACGACGCTGTAGTTGCGCGCTACTCCTCCCCTGCCACTGCTGCACTGAGCCGCCTCATGCTCCCCTTCCTCTTCCCTGACCTTGCCGCCTTTCCCACTGTCGCTAATCTCGTCACGCACCTCCGCACTAGTGACACTCGCTACCGGGGTGCGCTTCCTGCTGACTTCTGCGCCAAGAACCCCTCCCCCATGTACATCACTCTCTACTTCTTAGTCACTTGCCTCCCTGACTCCCTTCGTGTAGTCCGGGACCACTTCCTCGCAGTCTGTCCCACCACCCTCACAGTAGACAGCCTAGAGAAGGCCCTCCTTGCGACAGAGAAGAGCATAGTCGCTGTAGGTGCCTCTCGAGGTGACCCCCGCGCCCCCATCTTTGAGGGGTGTTCTCCTTCCCCTCTCCTGCCCTCTATCGCCTCTGCCGCTGCGGCCGACCTCGTTGGTCTTGAGTCGGTCGGTGCGGCGTCTGCCCCTAGCGGGAGACGCTGCTCTGGCAAGGGCAAGGGGGGCAAGGGAGCGGGTGGGGCCAGTGGGGGCAGTGGAGGTGGAGGTGGAGGCGGCGGAGGGAGTGGGGGTGGCGGTGGAGGTGGTAGCGGGGGTGGGGGTGCTAGTGGCGGCAGTGGAGGCGGGGGTGGCGGCGGCGGTGGCGGTGGTAGCGGAGGTGGCGGAGGTGGCGGCAGTGGAGGCGGAGGCGGGGGCGGTGGAGGCGGAGGCGGGGGTGGCGGAGGTGGAGGTGGTCGGAGTGGAGCTTCGCAGCGGAGCAGCACTGGGGGAGGTCAGCGCCAGCAGCAGCAGCAGCAGCAGCGTTCTCGCGACGTCCCCACCCCTCAGCAGCTCCGTGAGTGGTACACGCAGCGTCAGCGCGGTGGGGGTTTTGGTCCCTGCACCTACGTTCTCCGCACTGGCGACCGCACTGGAGAGCAGTGTGGGGGCACCCACACCGCCCAGCGCTGCTTTGACCGCCTGACGGACGCTTGGCGCCAGCAGTTCCCGGGGGCCGCGGAGATCCCCCGCTGGGGAGAGCTGTCTAGGGCTGGTGGAGCTATCTTTGATCTTGATTTTGATGCTATCCTTGCTGCCATGTATGCTGTGACCATTAGTGATGAGGGTGACTGTTACCAGTGTTTCCCGCCCGACCCGGGCATTGGTACTGCTGCTCAAGGTGCTGGTGAGGCTTCTGCTCTTGGTGCCAGTGCGTCTGTGCTCTCAGGTGCTGGTGAGGCTGCTCTCTCAGGTACTAGTGCGTCTGCGCTCTCAGGTACTGCGTCGGCTTCGGCCTCCCACACCTTCACTCTTGACTCTGGAGCGTCTCGCTCTTTCTTTCGGGACCGCACCACACTCACGCCGCTTAGTCGGCCGGTTGCGGTTTCCCTGGCTGACCCCTCTGGGGGTCCTGTCCAGTCTCGCTTCTCCACAGTCCTCCCGTGTCCGGCCGCTCCCTCTGGCACCCTGTCTGGTCTCTACCTCCCCTCGTTCTCTACGAACTTGGTGAGTGGTGCTGACCTACAGGATGCGGGAGTCCACCAGTTCACCCCTGCTAGTCAGCCAGTGACGCACTGCACAGAGGCTAGCACGGGTCGTCACCTGGCCACGTTTACACGTCAGCCAGGGTCGAGCCTGTACACACTGACCACTACTTCTCCTCCAGGTGCTGAGTCTGGTAGAGTCCCTTCGTCTGGTCAGGTGTTTGCTGCAGCGTCCAGGTCTGGTCCTGAGTCTGCCCCCTGTTCGTGTCGCCGTCTGTCTCACGAGACCCTCCTCTGGCACCACCGCCTTGGCCACCCCTCTCTGCTTCGGCTCAGAGGCATGGCCTCCCGTCTTCTTGTGTCTGGTCTCCCCCGGTCCCTCCCTCCCCTTCCTCACGGCCCTAGCCCTGCCTGTGTCCCCTGTGTCGAGGGGCGCCAGCGTGCTGCCCCTCACTCATCCCAGTTTCCTCTGACAGAGGCTCCGTTGCAGACGCTTCACATGGACGTGTGGGGCCCTGCCCGCGTCCGTGGACTCGGTCACGAGCACTACTTCCTGTTGGTGGTTGACGACTACTCGCGTTACACCACAGTCTTCCCCTTGCGCAGCAAGGGTGATGTCACTGAGGTGCTGATCGACTGGATCCGCGCAGCTCGTCTCCAGCTCAGGCAGAGCTTTGGCTCGGACTTTCCTGTGTTGCATCTGCACTCGGACAGAGGCGGAGAGTTTTCCTCTGGCCTTCTGCGTGCCTACTGTCGTGCGCGAGGCATCCGCCAGACCTTCACGCTTCCGGACTCCCCGCAGCAAAATGGGATTGCAGAGCGCCGCATTGGCATGGTCATGGACGTCGCTCGTACGTCTATGATGCATGCGGCTGCCCCCCATTTTCTGTGGCCGTTTGCGGTCAGGTACGCGGCGCATCAGATCAACCTCCACCCCAGGGTCTCCAGGCCGGAGACCTCCCCAGCCCTGCTGTGGACGGGGAAGGTTGGCGATGCGTCGGCGTTCCGGGTCTGGGGATCTCGGGCGTTTGTCCGCGACTTGTCTGCGGACAAGCTGTCCCCTCGCGCTGCTCCCTGCGTCTTCCTGGGGTTCCCCCCCGACGCCCCTGGGTGGCAGTTCTACCACCCCACCTCTCGACGTGTTCTGTCCTCCCAGGACGTCACGTTCCACGTATCGGTACCCTACTACCGCCTCTTCCCCTACCGCACTCCGTCCCTCCCCCCGCCCCCGCTCTTCTTGGTACCAGGTCCCCCCCCGGTAGACCCCCTCCCCCCTCAGGGTCCTGCCCCTTCAGGTGTGTCCCAGGTAGACGCGGTCGAGCCTGTCGAGGTCACTGGTGACTCTGGTGCTGCTGCGGGAGCTGAGCCTGGGGGTGCTGGGACTGGAGGCGCTACGCTTGGGGGTGCTGAGCGTGGGGGTGCTGGGTCTGGAGGCGCTACGCTTGGGGGTGCTGAGGCTGGGGGTGCGGAGTCTGGAGGTGCTGAGCCTGGGGGTGCTGGGCCTGGGGGTGCTGAGCCTGGGGGTGCTGAGACTAGGGGTGCTCCGCCTGGCGGTGCTTCGTCTTGCCGAGAGCCACTCTCCCCACAGGAGCTGCGTGAGTGGTTTGCCCGGCGCTGGAGGCGTGCTGCTGGTGCTGGAGGTTCTTCGGCTGCAGAGGGTGCTGCTGCCGAGCGTCCCGGAGGTGCTCGTGCTGTGGGTGCTGGAGCTGCTGGGTCTGAGGGTTCTCCTGGAGCTGGTGCTGCTGAGGGTGTTGGCGCTGAGACTACCGCTGGCGGTCCGACTGGCAGTGCTCCTGGTGGTGCTACTGGAGGTTCTGGAGCCACTGAAGGTGCTGCTGGAGGTGCTCCTGGAGCGGGTACTCCTCCTGGGGGTACTGGTGCTGTCCCTGCTGTTTCTGGCGTCGCCACGCGGCCCCGACCGTACTTCGTTCCGCTCCTTCAGCAGGTTCTTGGTCTTACACCTTCTCCTGGTCCCCCTCCTCCTCCCTTAGAGGGTCCACAGCCTGTCTCGTCACAGTCACAGCTACAGCCTGCCTCCCCTTTGCCTGCTCCTTCTCCCTACGCTGGTCCGACTGGAGGTCTTACTGAGCGTCGTGAGCCTGCGTCTCGTCCTGCGTCGCCCGTTCGTGCTGCGCGCACGAGTGGTCGCGGTTTGCGTCAGCGTCCTCCTCCTGTCCCTGGCACGCACCGGATGTCTCTGCGTCCGTCCTCTGCTCCTCTGCGTGCTCTTTTGCCTTCTCCTCCTGCTTCCTCTCTTCCTGCTCTTGCCGACCCGGAGTTAGACTCTCTTCGTGCTGCCAGTCCTACTGTCACGCGTCTCCTTGCTACTGCTGTCACTGACCCTTCTTTCGAGTCGTCTGCTGCGTCTGCCCTTGTCACTGAGCTCGTCGACTTTGCTGCGCGCTGTCGTCTAGACTATGCTGCTAGTCTTGTCGCTGAGTCTGAGTCGGCCTGTCCTCCGTCCGTCGGGGGTGAGTGTGCCCTTGGCACGGACGTCCTTGAGGATAGGCAGGAGGAGTTCCACTGTCTGGCCGCCGCTTCACCTCATCTCGCGTCTGTACTGCTAGCCCCTGAGGGAGACCCGGATGCACTAGACATCCTGACTCCGCGCTCTTACGCGGAGGCGATAGAGGGTCCCTACTCCTCTCAGTGGCAGGCAGCTATGGATGCAGAGATGGCTTCCTGGAAGTCCACAGGCACCTACGTTGACGCTGTTCCCCCTCCTGGGGCGAACATCGTCAGTGGCATGTGGATCTTCAGGGTGAAGCGGCCGCCGGGTTCTCCGCCTGTCTTCAAGGCGCGTTACGTGGCTCGTGGCTTCAGTCAGCGGCAGGGGGTTGACTACTTTCAGACCTTCTCCCCCACCCCAAAGATGACCACTCTTCGGGTACTGCTGCACGTTGCTGCTCACCGTGACTACGAGCTGCACTCTCTCGACTTCAGCACAGCTTTCTTGCAGGGCAGCCTGCACGAGGAGATCTGGCTGCGTCGCCCACCTGGCTTCACTGGGTCTTTCCCTACTGGTACCCAGTGGAGTCTCCGGCGTCCAGTCTACGGTCTCCGCCAGGCGCCACGTGAGTGGCACGACACACTGAGGACTACACTGGCGGCACTTGGGTTTGCTCCTTCTACTGCCGACCCGTCGCTGTTTCTTCGCACCGACACCTCTCTGCCGCCGTTCTACATCCTCGTGTACGTCGACGACTTGGTCTTTGCCACAGCTGACACTGCTGGACTCGCCTACGTGAAGTCCGAGCTGCAGAAGAGACACACGTGCACTGACCTGGGTGAACTGCGCAGCTACCTTGGCTTGCAGATCACCCGGGACAGAGCACGCCGCACCATTACCGTGACTCAGTCACACATGGTGCAGCAGGTCCTTCAGCGCTTCGGCTTCACGTACTCCTCGCCTCAGGCCACTCCTCTGCCTACTCGCCACTCGCTCTCAGCTCTGCCTTTGGATGAGTCCGTAGAGTCGAGTGGCCCGTATGCAGAGCTTGTTGGCTGCCTCATGTACCTGATGACTTGCACACGACCTGACCTTGCATACCCTCTTAGCATTCTCGCACGCTATGTTGCTCCTGGGAGACACCGACCAGAGCACATGGCTGCAGCGAAGAGGGTGTTGCGCTACTTGTGCAGTACGTCGGGCATGGGGCTAGTGCTTGGAGGGCGCAGTCCAGTGGTCCTCACTGGGCACGCGGACGCTTCTTGGGCTGACGACCAGGCTACGCAGCGGTCGTCACAGGGTTACACCTTCAGCCTTGGTTCCGGCTCTGTTTCGTGGCGGGCTACCCGCTCGTCTTCTGTTCTCGGCTCCAGTTGTGAGGCTGAGATCTACGCCGGGGCGATGGCTGCACAGGAGTTACGCTGGCTCACCTACCTGTTGACCGACCTTGGAGAGCAGCCTCGTTCTCCTCCAGTCCTGTACGTAGACAACAAGGCCATGCTGGCCTTGTGTCGAGAGCAGAGACTGGAGCACAGAACGAAGCACATTGCTCTCCGCTACTTTCTTGCTCGTGAGCTACAGCAGCGTGGACAGTTGCGACTTGCGTACGTGGCCTCTGAGGCCAACACTGCTGATGTCTTCACCAAGGCACTTGCGCCTTGTGATCATCAGCGTTGTTGCACGCAGCTGGGTCTTGTGCCTGTCTTGCCTCACTTGCTCACTTCTTGACTTTGCTTGTACCTTCACCTATATATACTCTTGCTCTTACTTGCTTGACTCTTGTATATCTTTATATATGATCTTGCATGTGAACTGGCCTTGTGGCCCTTGAACTTGTGCTCGGAATGTGTGGTGACTTTGTGATCCACCCTGAGCTTTGCTTTGCTTTGCTTGACTGGTCTTGTGACCCCTTGTTCTCCCCCACTTTGCCTATGGGGGTGTGTCAGAACATTATAGCTTACTCTTTTCTGTAGGCTATAGTGGGGTATCCCATAGGGGGTACAACCCAATTAGGGTTTCCTATTTGTACTCACTTCGTTCATAGTCATTTCATTCTCGTTCAGTTTTTCCTCATCTCAACCCCAGCCTCCGAAATGACGTGACCCAAAAACTCTAGCCTATCCCGAAAAAACTCGCACTTGGAGCCCTTGGTGAGTAACCGATGTTCTTCTAAAACCTTAAAAACTGCTTCAAGATCTACTAAGTGCTGCTGCTTATCCCGGCTGTAAACTAAAATATCGTCCAGGTAAACTATCACGCATTTATTTAAAAGTGGTCTAAACGCCTCGTTCATGGTCATCTGAAATGTTGCAGGCGCGTTGGTCAACCCGAAAGGCATCACTGTGTACTCGAATGACCCGTATCTAGTCCTAAAAGCTGTCTTGGCACAGTCCGATGGTTCAACCCGAATCTGATGGTAACCTCCCCGTAAATCTATTTTCGAAAAGACTCGTGCTGTTCGCAGTTGGTCGATCAGTTCGTCGGCGCGGGGGATGGGGTATCGCGATTTGACTGTTACCCTGTTAAGCGCTCGGTAGTCGATGCACATGCGGAACCCTCCGTCTTTTCTCGGTGTGAACAGTATCGGTGCGGCGAACGGTGACGAGCTCGGTCGGATAAACTGCTTCTCTAACAGGTAATCTAACTGCTTCCTTAACTCGTCGAGCTCGGGCTGTGTCAGTCGAAATTGTCGCTGTACAGTTGGCTGTGCCCCTGGTTCTAACTCGATCCTATGGTCGTGCGCCCGCTGAGGTGGCAGTCCCTGTGGTAAGTCATCCGGAAATATCCCCGGGAACCGTTTCAGTAGTGCCTGTAGCTCGGTCGGTACGGCTGCCAATAGTTTCTCTAAATCACTCGGCTGCTCCTCTTTTTCTATTAGCGCGATATCCACTGCGTACACGTCAGCTCCAGCAGCAACAGCCCGTTTCATCGTGATGGCGTTGACCTGGACCGTCGAAGATGCGGGTGGCTGCCAGCGAGGTAGAACGACCCAGTTACCACTACTTCGCACTGTGCAGCTCCCCGTCGTCCAGTCAATCCGTGGGTTGTACCGTCGCAGCCAATCACGTCCCAATAAAATGTCGTGCCCATCCAGTGTCGTTGCGAGCATTTCCTGTGTAAACCCGAAGTTCCCCCCGCAGCGGACTTTTACTCGCTCCACCTTTTCCCGTATGGCCAGGGGCGTGCCGTCGACTAAGCGTGCATCTATCTCAGGTAAGCATCGGTTAAGTGTTAACTGTAATTTCCGTGCGGTTGCGGTATTAACTAAACTGTGACTTGCTCCTCCGTCAATAAAGATCTTCACTGCTGCTCCCTGTATTTTCCCGTAGATCAGTACCGGGCAATCCGTCGCTGTACCCTCCTTATTCATCCGAGCCCGATCGAAGGCGTGAATCGGTACTGTGACTCGGTGAG